CCAGCAGAATATAACTAAGATCCCCATAATAAAACTAATCAGGCAACTGAGAATTAAATGCAACAAGATTAAGATTTCAGGTACAAGAAGACAGTAGAATAACATTCTCTCTTTGCCTTAAAAAAAGAGCGAAGTCAGAATAGATGATAATTTTTCACATATTTGATACATCAAGGTATTAGAATTTCTTCATTTTAATTTTCGATCAGAATTAGTTCGAAGTTTTTACACATTGTTATTCATATACTGAAAACAAATACCACACTGCCTTCTTTCCAAGCGTCCCACAACTGGAGATGAAATTTGCAATTTTAAACTGGTTAAATGCCACCATAGACTTCAATGACAGTCCACAACAAAGTAGTAATTTGTGATACTCTTATTCTTAGCATAAGTTTGCAACATATTACCACAAAATCAGGAAGAGTTTTGTTACCGAGTTCTGAACACAAATTTGAACATTGCCCCTTCTGCTAATTGGGGACAATCTCACCACACAAATTAACATATACTAGATCTCGGGCCTCTCCCAGCCAACAAGAGATTTACACAAGTACCTTCAGTTTGGGAAATGGAGCATGTTATACAATGTGAAAGAACAACACATGGGAAAAGTTTAGCACAAAATGTTGACTATTTGTACTTAAGCTAACAGAGCAAGTTGATCACAAATCTCTCCAACAGAACATTCCACTTAGTTAAGCTCCTCCTTAGCCTATAACATAAAAAGAGATCCTGCTAAGTAAAAGAAAGCAGACACATTGCACAAGAATCTTGCAGAGAGAGGGGGAAAATTAATTGTAAGATTTCATAAATTAAAAAAAAATAAATTAAATCCTTGGAATTATAGGCAGTAAAGCACCACAGCAATTTAAGTGAAGCAACACATCCTCTGTCTTTCCTCAAATTTCCTATTTCACACTGATGCTCATTCAAGAGATTAAGCAGGCATTGAGCATAAAGAACTCATTACTACTCCAGCCAGTTTTCATAATGCAAGGAGCAGAGGCAGCTCTCGTAGAACCTGTATTACACAACTGAAATGATCCATGAAAGCAGCATTGCTTGGTGCATTACCTGTGCCCCTCAATTCTCAATTACTAACAGCAAGTATTAACTGTCTTCTCCATTATGAGTCTACAGCTGACTAACATGCAGCTACAGCCCGTAAAAACTGTCAAAGTGCACAATGAACGTGTAATATAGTGAGACGACAACGTGTTGGTTTTTCTTATTGTTTGCTTCCTACAGACACAGGTACAGTTTATTTATGGCACATCACTTACATAGATTTAAGGAAAAAAGTAATATTTCTTGAGGTGCCAAGTTGTAAACTGCTTTGCATATTTATTCTAACATTCGAGATGCAGATGCAAATCTATTCAGAAGCTAGTCAATGCATTTTTTGTACTCTGCATGATAAATACTGAACTGGGCTTCATTTTGCCCCTATTGCTCATAGATTTGGCTACTATATATACAAATTATCACATAAATACTATTGGTCCCAACAGCGCATCCTCTCCTCTAACAAACCAATGATTGCTAGGTAAAGTACAGGCTCTGAAGTGTTGTATGCAAGGAACAAAATTCCTAACAGTATAAGAACATGATGATGGCAGAAAAAAAATGTAGTAAACAGAAATGGTAAAGAAATAAAAAAGATTTAGAGAAGCTTTTTGGAAGATTATATATGGTTTATATAATCAGCTGTAACTCAGCTGCATGGAAGTTTTTCCTTCATATTAGTAAAAGGTTTATAATACACAAAAGTTTTACTATATGAGCAAGAACCATATTCTTCAAACACTGCCAAATTTGAGTCCCAAGAGGCAGCTTGACATTAATCAGCTGTTCAATACTACGTAAGTTTCAGACCATCTCTTACCAGTTTTTCCACTTCTGTTTTTCTGGTGTATTTTATATTCCTAATGTTATGGTCTTCTACAAAATAGTACTTTATTTTTTTTTATATGATCATTAGCATAGCTGATTTGCTATATAAATACCCAAATAAAAGTTGAGGGGTTTTTTACATCACCTGGTATCCCTCTATTCTTTCATTCACAGGAACAGTAATAGCAATAACCAGTTAATCACTCAGAAAGTCATACGATCAGTACTTACTTCTTAAATATAAACAATTTCATTAAGATGTTAACCTTAAAGACTACTAAAACCAAGACCATAGTTACCAGATCTGGGCAGGAATGACTAAGTTGTGGAAAGTGAAACTGACCACACAACTGCTACCAAAAAACTGAATGACAAAAAGAAGAAAGTACAAATATCTTTGCTATTAAATTTTTAAAACTGGGAAACTAGAAGAAACTAAAAATGATCCTGTTTTAAGCAAAATATGAATCCAGATAAACTGTGTAAAACAAGAAAAATTTCCCACACGTTCAATAGTTAAAACTACAAACAGATAGAATTTATTTTGGGGAAAAAACCCACCCATTTCTTCATAAAACTTTTCTTTCCTAACTATAGGGAACCACGTTGCTCTCCAAATCATACTGCACACAGGGATGGGAAGAACACTGGTTTAGAAAATTGGTCTGCTGTCATTTGCTGACAAGAAAAGGCTGAGAATTGACGTTTGAAACAGCTCCAGCAAAATAAGAATAAATTCCCACCCTGACAAGGTGTAAGAGTTAAGACTCACTTTCAAAATTGAGTTGTTCTCTTCTGCAACGTGTCTAAAAGAAACAGGTTTTCTATCTTTTTTGCAATGCTTTTACTCAACATTAATACAAGAAGAGATTGGCTTGCTCCCTACCAAAAGAAAGTCTAAGAGGAGAAAGAATTGTTCTCTCTAAATACCCTAGAAAAAAATCAAAAAAATTAACAACTTAAGCCAAACGACAATAAGGGCACAAGAACAAAATGGTAAAATGCCTATCAATACCTTTTAAAAAATTACTTTAACGTAATCACCAAGTTCTGAAGTAGTTCTCCAGCAAGAGTAGCAGGAATATACAATGCAAAGTAGTTTTAAGCTGCTTGAAAGAGTTACAAGAGCATTTAAATAACAGCATTTTAAATAAAGCAACAGACAAGAACCACATGGGTTTCTTCTAGTCCAATGAAGCTGTCTTAAGTTTCAGGTAAGTTTTGTCTCAGCTTTATACGGAAGTAACTGAAAGTATGAAGTCCTTCCCGCCAAAGAGGGATGCATAACCACAGTTCAGAGGTCTAAGTAACCATTAATGGAACTAGTAAGAAGGAACACTGGTACAGGCACACAAATCAGTTGAAACACGCAATAAAAATATATAAGCAAATAATTTAGAAGGACTGCATTGTGAGAAAAACCTTTATACTGATATTTTCAGCTCTAATAATATTACAACTTAAAAAGTATAAAGCTTCCAGGCAAAAGTTAAGGAGGGACTGGAATCCCTTAACTGATCTTTTTGAGATGCAAGACTCAGCATGTTCTTTTAAATTCTGAGAGGGTTGCGGAGCTCTCCATGGCAACCCAGGATGCAAGCACCCTGCAGCCTCTTGGCAAGGATCTAACAGGAACAGAAACACTGGGCTGAAAAAGCATCTAACGCAGAAGAAAGGCCACAACTTCAAGGTGGGGTACAATTTGTGTCTTTGCAAACAGGTCAATAAAGGGATAAAGAAGAACTCCTGATTAAATAATTCCTGATTAAATATGCTTCTCTGTTCAAAAACTGAATAAGCAAAAGAAGGGGAGGAACTACACGAGCAAAAGCTACAGTCTAGGGGATAAATAAGACCAGGTGTAGCATCATTTAAGTTTAGATATGCCACAACATAATGCCTATCTCAAATTCTTTAAGAGTTTAGAGCTTGTTCCCTGTACAATTCACTCTTCACGGTATGTTCGAAGGTCCTTCGGTTCCTGTTACATTAATAACGAATCTGTTTCATTCACCCCCTTAAAATTTTGTGTACTATTAATCGTCCTTACCTATCTTGTTAAACACAACACAACTGATTAAAGATATCTGATGTCATACCTTGTTTTTACTAACTCGAGAGAGGAGAGAGGAGAGAGGAGAGAGAGGGTGGTCTTGGATCTCTCAATGACACACAATCACTAAAGGCTGGCTGGATAGGTATGTCTTTCTTTTGTTCCAAAGTGATGTGTACGACTGCCAGAAGCACCACTGAAGTCAAAACACCGGACTCCGCACACAAACAGCAGCTTTCCGGAGCTGACTGTAGGGTAGGTTTATTCGCCACCACATCAGGCCGCTCCGAAGCGGCTCGTGCGATAAAGGCCTCTCGCTGCAGCCTTATGAAGCCGGGACCGAAGGACCAGGTGCTGCCGCCGGAGCGGGACCCGGCGGTTCCACCTGGGCCAGGCGGCCCGCCGCAAAGCCCTCCCCGTCCCCTTCCTGGCACCCAGCGCTCACCGACGCGACCCCCGCCCCGGC